AGCTATCCCCTGGGTAGAGTACTGTGGCATCACAGCTCACAGCAACCTCCAACTCCTGGGCTCAAGTGATTCTCTTGCCTCAGCCTCCCAGGTAGCTGGGACCACAGGCGCCCTCCACAACGCCGGGCCATTTTTGGTTGCAGCCGTTATTGTTGTTTTTGGCAGGCCCGGGCTGGATTCAAACCCGCCACCTTATGTGTATGTGGCTGGTGCCCTAGCCACGTGAGCCACAGGCACCGAGCCGTAAATTCTTTATATTACTCTACTTTCTGTTACAAAATTCCAATGATAAAAAGTAAGCGAGGCCGGGCATGGTGGCTCATGCCTGTAATCCCAGCACTCTGGGAGGCCGAGGCAGGTGGATTACCTGAGCTCAGGAGTTTGAGACCAGACTGTCCAAGAGTGAGACCCCAGCCCTACTAAAAATAGAAAAAATAGCAGGCGTTGTGTCAAGCGCCTGTAGTCCCAGCTGCTTGGGAGGCTGAGGCAAGAGAATCGCCTGAGCCCAAGAATTTGAGGTTGCTGTGAGCTATGACGCCAAATAACCCTACCAAGGGCGACAAAGTGAGACAGTATTTCCAAAATAATAGTACTGTTAAAGAAAATATAAAAGCAATACCAAAAAAGCCAAACCCGTGTCCTAGTATCCCATTAGATACCCTTTGCATCTCGTCCCATTACAGACACGCTCAAGGTACCGTGAGTCTCACCGGATCTGCTCCATGGCTGCCCATGTCAGAGTTCGGGGCGGGGAACCTGACGCCTCCATTTGCCTCCGAATTTTCTGGAATCGGATTGCTTTTCTCTGTCGTTTCAGGGTGCTGGGGAGAAAACCAATGGCAGAAGCCATATGTGGAAGCAAGAAGGATGTCTGAGGAGCCTCAAGCTAAATTACAGATGCTCGGCCCTCTTCTCCGGGTTCGCGAGCGCAACCGGGTCCTGCTGCGGCTTACAATGGCTCCGCACAGCAGCCCGGGAATCCAACGGCTACAACTGACCGAGCAGGCCAGACTCACTAGACTAGGAACGAAACCGTCCCTGGAGAAGGGACTCGTGGTCCCGAGAGAGCTGAACATCCGACCCTGTTCACCGGCGCCAAGGGGCGCGGCCCTGCCTCAGGCCAAGGGCCCCGGGAGTAGCCGGTACCTCTCCACTTCCTGCAGCTCCCGCTCCTCCGGCTCCCAGTCGGAGTCCGAGTCTGGCTCGCGACCGAAGGGGCCCAGGCCCACCACCCCCCGGGTCGCGACCCCGGAGCGCGCGACAGCAGCGCACACACGCCTGCTCAGCCAGAGACTCAGAGTCACCGCCATGTCCAAGCAGCTAGGCCTCCAGCACCGGAACCGGAAGTAGGGGCGGTAGCGAAAGCAGGGGTGGGACGAGCCGAGGCTGGGTGGTCCCAGCGTTTCAGGCTTTGACTGGCCTGAGATCAATAAGAGCTGGAGTGTGGCGGTGGCCACCCTTCTTGGCTGCGCCTGCTGAGGGGGCTTCTTGGAATGTGAGGGCTGAAATGAGATACGGGACGCGCCTGGAAAACGGCATAAACTTTAATAAAAAGACGGATCGATTGCCAAGAGCCGTCCCCTGCCCCAGCGGCTAAGTGGACTTGCCTGTCACCGCCGCCGCGGCGGGAGGCGGGGCTTCCCCGTGGCACTCTTATGCCCGCTACAGCCCGGAGCCTGGGGCGCTCGGCTTCTTTGGGAAGGGAGCTTCTTGGCGCCGGGGTAACCTTCAGCCCCTGTCGTCCCAAGGTTCAGACCCATCGCCTAGCGATAAGCCCAGGCCACGGCTTGACGAGCAGAGATGAGTACGTGGCGGGCCTGGGCTCCTCTTCATCTTTTAGTCTTTACCGATCCCAATATAATCTTAGGGTGTTGAGGAATTCCTGGTGTTTGTGTTTTGCCTTACGCAAACAGTTCCTGGCCAGGACTTTTCAAACTGGAAGTTAGCAGCAGTCTTTTATTTAGCAAAGATTGAAGGCCCTTTGCTCCTTTGGAAACCTGATGGGGGTTCTCCAGGAGAAGTAGAGCTGCCCCCTGCTTTTACCTGTGCTGACTTATGTTGAGGATTGCACTGGGCCGCTGCAGCACAGGTGCAGGGGCAGGGCAGAGGGTGAGGTCCTGAGCCTTGGCTGCTCTGTGTTCAGCGCTTACCATGGAGGGCAAGGTGCATTCAGTCCACGCGTCACATGCCGCTCTTTCCGGTTGCAGAAGATAGCTCTGTTTAGGGGCTAAAGTGCGTGGCACTGATCCTGCCAGGGCTTGGTTTATAGCTTCTAGCCTTCTGCTGGCTTGGACTTCTGTAGTGGAAGCATAGATGTCCCTGAGTTGGTACTCACAGAGAGATTTGCTCACCTCTTTCCCAACTGTGGCCCAATTATCGACACAGAGGAATGGCATCCTATTCTTTCCTCCAGCGTCTTTACCACACTGTCTTGTAATTTGTATGTCTAATTGTTCATTTCCCTATTTTTTCCCCTTTTATTGACTGTTGGTACTGTATTTCTGCCATCTCCAGGGTCTACTATATAGAAAGAAGTAAATAAATGGGGTCTACCCCCCCCCATTTCCATATGCTGGAAATGCCAGATTATATTTTGGTAACATCCCAGCTGTATATTTGCTAGTGGGAATTTACATAGGCCCAAATGACCAAAGCTGGTTTTGTGTACTTACGACTAGTGAGCCTGACTCTGGTGCTGGAAAAGTAGTACCTCCCTGATTTCTTCATTGACAATGAACAGGGGCCGAAGGCTGCTGGATCTCCTATCCATTTGAAGGTCTTGGGCTGCAGTTGGCATCGGGAATGATGTGGAACTGCCACATTCATGCTTGGCAGTGGCCCTAAGATCCTGGGGATCAATTTATGGGGCCGAACTGGATGCAGGAAATGAGGAGGGCCCTGCTTTGTGGCAGCCCCTCTCAGGAGCAACAATGGGACCAGACTCACAGATTGCGGTTCTTGACTGCCTGGCCCATCCTGGTGAAATCTAGGCTAGAAAAGAAAGGCAGTCCCTTAACATATTTCTTTGTGAAGCTGGAGTGTTGGAAGAAATAGGTAACTGAAAAGTCTCTTCTAGGCCCTAAGTACTATTCAACCAGTTACTCCTTTGGAATTCAAGAAAAAAAAAAGGACCAAACAAATTTGCAACTAGCTCTGGGAGTAGTGAAGGTGGCAGCTGTTTTGTTGGCACAAAACTGTTTACTTATTTCCCATTAGAGTCAGGGCACTGGCAATGCTAGGGAGAAAATTACACAGAAGCCACTGAAGGGGCTTATTACTTGTCAGTCATGAGTTTGGGGTTACTGTGAGAAGGGAATATAGAAAGCAACTCTTATAAGAAGGTTGGGAACTTCACCTTGCTGGATGTCATACCCAAAACAAGAGACCCTGGGAACAGATGCAAAAGGAACCAAAAGACCCTCTCCTGAGGCTCAGCATACTCTGCTTTCCCAGCCTCGACTGGCAGACACCATCAATAAACCGCCTTTGGTGCTACCACCATTCTATCTGCTGGTATCAGAGCTCTTGTTCTCTTGTTCTCTGGGAGGCTTTGTAAGAACCCTCATCCAATTCTTTTTTTTTGAGACAGAGTCTCACTATGTCATCCTCAGTAGAGTCCTATGGCATCACAGCTCACAGCAACCTCAAACTCTTGGGCTTAAGCAATTCTCCTGCCTCAGCCTCCCAAGTAGCTGAGACTACACGCATCTGCCACAATGCCTGGCTATTTTTTGTTGTAGTTGTCATTGTTTTGAATGGCCTGAGCCCAGGCCAGGTTCAAACCTGCAGCCCGGGTGTATGTGCCTGGCACCCTAACTACTGACTTATGGGTGCCAAGCCCCCTCACCCGATTCTCATGAAGCTTTCTTTGGCCCCGGCGGCTGGGGTGCAGGATGCTGGTAAGCTGCTCTACAATACCCAGGCTTCGGATGAGATTTTCCCTTTGTAGCAGGGACTTCATCCGCTCCAGCTCCTCCTCTTCCACAATATCTTGAGGCTCCATGGTGTCCAGTAGTACTGGTAGCAGCTACAAGATACGTGAGAAATAAATGCAGAATCCCCAAGGACAAATCCCAAACCATCAGCAAGGATGGCTGTAGGACCCCTTCCCCCTCTACCTCCATCCCTTCCCTAACCCTAGTGTAAGGTTCCCTTTGCTGTCCATTCTCTCACCTCCTGTTCCATAAGGTCAGACTCAATTTACTGATTAGGAACTCATCTCTCTTGTACAAGGGGAGGAGAGGACAGCAGAGATTCCCTTCTCTAGTAGTCCCAACCCATTTCCTGCAGAAAGATAAGAGCCACAAAATCTCTGACACCTCTTTCTCCCGGATGCGTTTCCTGTAAGCCAAGTGGGTGGAAAGGCCCCGGAGCCCTGCCCGGGATCGGGATCGGCTCTTCTCCCCAGCTGATTCACCCTGGTTCTGGTCCCTATTGTCCTTTCGCCTCTTAGTGCCTGAGGTCTCCTGCTGTTCCTGCTTAAGGCGGATCTCTTCCAGCTGCTGCCTGGTGAGACACAGTGGCTTCAGACACTGGGGAAATTGTACTGGGGAGAAGAGGGTGGCGAGAAGCAGGGATAGGAAAAGAGTAGGAAGTTATGATCTATTTTTGGAACTGGTGGGAGAGGAAGGAGGGGGAAGATGGGAAACCTACTTAAAGCTGAAAGTCATTAAGAATCTGAAAGAATTTAAAGCTCAGGCCTTTTCCTCAAATGTCTGGTCACTCTCCCCTTCCTGGGGAGCAATGCACCTGCAGGCTTTGTCACCACCCCAGTGTTCTGAAGAGAATGCAGGCAGAGTACCTGGCACACTCCTCTCTGGCCTTGGAAGCAGCAGTCTCCTGGAAGAGGGAGCCATTGTGCTTGAAGAAGGGTGCATACTTCCCCGTGTCAGGCCCAGGGTAGATCCTCCGGTACCCTCCCAAGTGGGAGTCCTCATATCGCTCCTGGTCCAGCATTGCTGCATGTGATGACTCAATTTGTTCTCGCCTGTGGGAAACAAGCTGAGGGTGAGTTAAAGGAGGGCTATGAATGTGAGTAGGGAAAGGAAGGCCGGCTCAGGCTCTGAGACACTCCTGCTGGCTTCTTGGCCTCCTGGGCCCCTGACCCCATAGGGAAGGCTGCCAAGATACGTGAGACTCATCTTTGGCCAGCCCCACATGTGCGTGGCCATGAAAATAGGCTTGATTTTCAGAAATATAATTTTCATCATAAGTATAGTGGGGTCCACTTGTAAGCTGGCATTCCAAGTTATCAGAGTCGTTTAGGTTTTTGATCGTAAGAGTAACAGATGTGCAATACAGAAAACTTAGCAGTTTTTTTTTTTTTTTTTTTTTTTTGGCCGGGGCTGAGTTTGAACCTGCCACCTCTGGCATATGGGGCCGGGCGCCTTACTCCTTTGAGCCACAGGCACCACCCCAGAAAA